GTGTGTGTGTGTGTGTGTGTGTGTGTGTGTGTGTGTGTGTGTGTGTGTAATTTTTTCACTTGACCTACAGATTCTTTTCCCTCCTGAATAAATCATCAAGCCTGTTCACATTCCTGGTTAAGGATCTGACAGCAGATGATAATAAAGACAATTGAGGTGTGAGACGTGTGATATGGAGCTGAAGAAATTGGTTTCTATAGTTACTTGACCGATTTCATGCAATTTTTAAGGATCTTTGTGCTAAATAAGAGTGATTTCCTGAGTAACCTTTTTCCTTAACTGTGCCTCTTGAACTATGAAATTTGTTGTCCTCAGCATTGCTGTACTTGGCGCCTAGGTGCCAGCAGCAGCAGGTTATTTATTAATGTTCTAAGGCCCTTATTGTTTGGATTAATGTGGGAGCTCAGGCAAAACACATGGAAATGGAGTAAGATTCTTAGAATCAACACATTGTATTTTTTTGAGCATAGAGAAAGAAAATACATGAACTCTGGGTATAGGGGTATTAGGGCAAGAAAGGAAGAAAAATTAAAGTGTTGGAGCCAGAGTTATTTTAAACAGATTGTTTCTTACTCAAATTTCCTTCCATTGTAAATTTATCTAATACTGTTAACCTGAGAACTACATCTAGCATTCTTTCTAAGCAAACCTAGGTTAATGCTAGATATTTGTAGCTTGTGCTACTTGTCATTGATCTGAATCCTGAGTATCTCTTCTTGCTTTAATTAAAAACTGGTTGGATACTTATATCTCTCTTTTAAAAATATTTTAAAAAATGATTCTCTTTTTGAAAAGTATATCTCAGAAAGTTAATTATCTTACCCTGTGTATTCTTGCTTCATAACCATGAGTACTTAGATTCCGTGTCGTTCCTCCCCCCCCCCATGGTTTTCAAAGAGATGGTTTTATTTCATATTTTTGGTGGTGTATTTAATCAATGAAGACAGTAGGTAGGCAGCAATCTTCAAAAAATACTGTCAGGTAGGATGTGGCTTCTTTTACTGAAAGTGAGGGATAGTAAACCTTTTTTTTTTTTTCTTTGTACTGCTCTTTAGTATTTCTTTTTCAAGTGAGGTCAAAAGAAATATAATTTCCTTCCATACTATTTTTAAAGTCTTCTACAGTAAATCCACTGTGGTAAAAAAAGAAATCAACTTTCTTAGAAAAGAGCCATTTTTTGTATTATTTATTGGCTGCAAAGTTGTTGTTAGTCTGAAAGTTAAATATTGTCATTTTTATCTTTCTTCTGTCCTATAAGACTATAACTTCACTGTACAAAATAGTTTCCTTTCAGAGTCACACACATGGGTTACTGTAATTTGTTTTATAAAAATATTATCCCTGCCATACTGTTGAGTTGGAGTATTCTCTTCTATAGTAATATATAAAGTTACGCGCTTGTAGAAGTTGTAGTAGTGTAGTTTATTCTTTTTGTATTAACTAGGACGTTTTCTTGGCTTAATTGGGAAGATTAATGCTGTTTAGTGGTTGTTGCTCTATTACAACAGCTTTGCTTTTCTTTGCAAACTGGTCACTAGGAAAGTGGACTAATGACAACATTTTAAATGCAGAATCCCAAAAGAACTGCTTCAAGAAGTTGTGGGCTTTGTTTATGCTTGGAAATGTTTCAGTAGGGTGTTTATCATGTTTCAAATCATGCCTAAATCTGAACTTTGCATATTGTTAATGACTGTAGCTTTTGTTATTGACAATTCTCCCCGGGGTTTTTCATTTTTTTTTTCTAAAATAGTTTTAGAAACTTACTTTTTTTTTAATTGCCAGGTTTTTATAAAGATGTCTAGTGATTGTTTTTTTTTTTTTTTTATTCTTATTGACTTCTTCACCATTCTCATTCTCATTGCCATTCTCACCTGGATGCCTTTGTGTTTGCCTTCAGCCTAGTCTCAGCCCATTGCAATGGCTCCTGCTGCATACTGTTGCCATTGATCTGACAGGTTATCCATTTGGAAACCTTTCTGCTAACTGGCAAAATGTCTGTGGCCATTCCTGTAATTCAGACATTTTATCTTAAGCTTGAAGGGTATCTTTTCCCATTTTCAGTGTGTGCTGTTTTTTTGTTTTGTTTTACACTATTTTAGGTGTTTTTGTTTTTCTCTAAAAACAGTTTTCACAGCTGCAATTTTGGAGTTAATATACTTTTTCTAAAATGTAAATAGTGATATTCTTCCACTTTACCCTATATTTGTGAAGTTTTTTTTTTTAATAGAACTTTATTAGTACTCCCCTCCTTTTTTTTTTTAAGATTTATTTTATGTGTGAGTCCTTCATCTGCATGCACACTTGCATGCCAGAAGAGGGCATCAGATCCCAGTATAGATGGTTCTGAGCCACCATGTGGTTGCTGGGAGTTGAACTCAGGACCTCTGGAAGTACAGACAGTGCTCTTAACCGCTGAGCTGTCTCTCTAGCCCTATTTGTGAAGCTTTATAGAACGTTACTAGTTGTCAAATTTTAATTCCAAATAAGCAAGCTCAGTACATCTGCAGACTTGTCTGAAATGTGTACTGTATGTTGTGTGTTGTAGGTTAACATTTATATTTTCCATGGTGTTTTCCCTTAGTACATCACTCCAAATTCTGCACAGCAAGCCATTTGATCTTGAAATTTAAGCTTCCAGATTTCTTAAAGAGTTTTGAAAATATATTTTCTGACCCTTATGTTCATTTGGATCTTTTTTTTTCTTTTTTGAGAAATGTGAGTTCAGTGAATCTGTGCAGAGTGAAGCAAAGAATTTATTCATTTTTTTTTAACACTTCAAGGCATTTTTACTTTCATTTTATATCAGACATTAAAGGGGAAGAAAAAGACTATAACAGTGTATATGCTGGCACATTGACTTTGCATAGCAACCTGTGGGGAAAGTGATTAAAATGCATAACAGATTAGAAACATATTCTAAAATAGGATGTTTTTTCTAAATAAATTATGAAACTGAAAACTCAGAGTACAACTTTCCAGAGACCACTATTAATTCCTATTGTGCAGTTAATAACGTACTTCATATAAGCTTTATTGCTGAATAGAAAGTATGTTTTAAGAAAGGCAATGAAAAATTTGTTATTTTGATCTTTTGCTGTTGTTACTATTGTTTTTTTGGGGTTTTTTTTTTTGTTCTTTTTAAATTATATCTACCTACCTACCTACCTACCTACCTATCTACCTACCTACTTATCTATCTATCTATCTATCTATCTATCTATCTATCTATCTATCTATCTATC